AGTTGTTTTTATTAATTACTACATAATGCTCTTAAGTATTTTGAAGTGAAATATTTGATATGCCTATTTTCTCTTTTACAAAAATCCAAACCTGCTCTTCTCCAGGAAACACAGTTGTTGACCTTGTCACAGATCACTGGTTTGCTCCTATTAGTCTACCACGATCATTCACTATTAGGAAATTTCACTGAACTCCTGACCCTCAGAACAGCATTTTAAATGTACATTGTATGTTTACAATTTGACTTTTAGGTTAAGCTGACCTTTTCATAGGAAAACTCTCATTAGAACCATTCACTGCTTTGCAAATGTTAAAGTTTGTCAGAAAAAAAAAAAAACTTCCCTGCACTCAGAGTGTCTTTGAGATAGTTGTATAATCCTCCACTACCACTATCTAAGTATTGTTTATGTATCACACACATATACTCTATTTCATAGAATCTTAGCATTTTTTTTTAAACTGGAGAAGTCTTTAGAAATCAATTTTCCAACTTCCTAATTTTCCTGAGAGTGATACAGAATCCACCCCCCCTTTTTTTTAAATTGGGCAACAGTGTGTTTTTCCAGGACCCATCAGCTCCAAGTCAAGTAGTTGTTTCAATCTAGTTGTGGAGTTATGAGCACCGCGCTCTAACCAACTGAGCTAACCGGCTGCCCCAGGTCACTGTATTTAATAAGGTCTGTCTTATTTGACCCCCACAAAACTCCACCTAGCCTAGCCATTGCAGAGCTACAGGAGAAATCAGACCATTTTTTTCACTTGGAGGAGAGGAAGTAACGCTCATAGTGCAAGTTGCATGCCTAGAATTCCGGTTCTCTACCTGACACTCAGTGCCCTCACAGCATTTCCCAAGCTTCAGGGGAGACAGCAGCCCAATTTTGTGCCCATAGTGTCTTACTCCCATCATGCCTCTTTGGATCTTGGATCTATTTACTCCATAACAGACAGACATTGCCTCTCTACTGCGTTCTGAACAGTTAAAATATACAAGCTCTCTGTCACCCAGGGGAGGCTTTGTCATGAATATTGATTAGTTAAAAGGGCACTTCTGCCATCTGGCTGGCAGATGAAACATAAAGATCAATACTTCTCATCCTTCAGCCTCAAGGATCAGAAAGAAAGTGGTGAAGGGGAAGGAAGTAGGATTATTACCTTATCAAGATGATTGTAGAAATCAATGTTTGCTGCGCAAAGATACCTCCCAAGCAGTGTGGCATGGGTGGTAAATATCGTAGCGATGGGAAGTTTCCGGGCACGAGAAAGGATCAGTCCAATTCCGGCCTGCCATTCATGGAAATGGGCAATGACGTGTTTGTCTTCCATATGGTCTGTCACCTACATCAGAAAACAGGCATTTAGAAAAGCTGTTGGTGAAGTGTGGTCTTGCTCATGGCCCACAACATAAGGCAAGTTACCGTGCCTGTAAATTTTAGCACAATTTAAAGGGATCTAAATATGAAACCTGCAGATTTAGCAAGGATAAGTGTTTTATAAGATTCGGTGGCATGTTCATAAAGCCCAGTGACCCCCATGCTTAGCGTACATCACAACCACCAGGAAGGCTTGTCAGGCCCTGACACCTGGGTTCTATTCCCAGGTAATCTAATTCAATGGCTCTGGGCTGAGGGCAAGAATTTGCATTTCTTACAGGTTTCAGGTGATGCTGCTATTGGTGGTCCACAGAAATGCTCTTTGAGAACCCCTGACTTAGGCTAGCTAAATCTTTGTACTTTAAAGTATCTATTCTTCAAAAAGTTCCTCACAGCTACTAACAGTTGCACACACAGATCAATGGCAACAGAGGTGACAGCAGAAACAGGGCTTGCCCAGAAGCCTGGTTGTTTTTTTTTTCAGTGTCTTTATTTATCCTTTGTACCAAAGACAATCTCTATTTCTGGGACTGCTTTATTTTAAAGGAAGTTGGGGCTCTTACTTTCTTGTTTCTCTCCCCTCTGTTCCATTTAACAGAAAGGATGACAGCAGACACACACACACTCACACACACACACACACACACACACACACTCACTTGGAGGCTGAATTCAGCCCTGAGAGCAGTGGCTCAGGGAGGTAGTTCACAGAGCAATAATTGGTTCCACCAACAGAGGCTAAAGCAAGAGTGCGTATTGGTCATTAGACCAGATCTGCCAGCACAACTCCCAACCACCACCTTCTCCTCTTCTGTCACCAACACAAAGCAATAGGACCGCCCCTTCACCTTCACCTTCACTTCAAGGCAAACCTTTGTGGCTATTGGAATATGACTTCATCAGTAAGAAAGACTGGCCAAGGGGAGCACACTCCCAACAACAGTTCTGTGAGTTGTCCTTAGCCACACCCCACTTTGCTAGGGACGCTCCATTTTTAGGTTAGGCATCATTATCTTGAGGTGATGCAAAGAACGCAAATAAATCTTACTGTCATGCTTTGAGGACTTAAGAGAGTGCAGGCTTGGCTCATTTAACAAGGGCTGGTTTCTAACACTTGGTTTTTTTCATCTATGGGATATTTCACTGATATGAACTCCTTAGCAACTGCTGGAATCACTTCAGCCCTTAGCAAATGATGAACATTTCTAAAAGTCACTGCACTTGCACAAGTACTCATGCATAAACAAAACCAAATATTTCAAGCTATTTCCTACTTCCTTGATTCTAAGATTCATGTACATGGTGCATGATGTATATTATTTTTTTCTTGTATATATATTGAGTATCATCTATGTAGCAGGCAATATAATGGGATGTTTTAGAGACACTATTCTGTTTAAACCTGACATGAGGTTAAATATTAATAAACACTATTATAACCCTGTTCCAAAGGCTGACATTTAGTTTGAGGAATGCTAGACATTTTCTCAGATTGCTTTGAAACATATTAGGACAATCAATAATGGCATCAACTCAAAATTCACTTAATCTGGGCCGGCCGAGTGGCGCGATGATTAAGAACTGGCTTGGGAGGCCAGAGGGCCCCGGTTCGGATCCCACATATGAGGGCCAGTGACACTGCCCTCTACAGCTAAGATGCTGAACAACAGCTCAACCTGGAGCTGGGTTGCCAGGAGTCGCCCGCGACGGCGTAGGCTGCAGCCCCTGTGGCAGTGGGTTGCCATGGGCAACCGTATGTAGCCAGCAGCCAGCGTGAGCGGCCATCCAGAAGCCGGCGACTGATCTGCCTCACCCGGAAAGAGCGCAATGATGGTGCCAACTTGGGCCAGTGAAGCAACGTCCTCCACAACTAGACTGAAGAACAAAATGACAGCAACTTGTCTGTTCCCCTTCCCCCAATTCCCCAGCGCTGTTCCCTTCCCCCCAATACCCCAATTAAAAAAAAATTCACTGAATCTAAAAACAATGGTATCATTGCTGAGCACGCCGGGCATGGAACACAACTGCGCTGCCCTCCTGTATAGAACTATACAACTGTGAGCTGTACCTCTTTTAAGAACCAGGCAGTTAAAGATCCAAATATCAACATATCATTGGCTTCTCGGTCGTGATAAGGGATGCCGACACTGCATGCTTCCCAGAGGTCACCTTTCCACCTGTCCAGATTCCAAGCCGAATACCCTATGTCAAAGAGCACCACGTAAGGACTCCCTTCTATCAGCCATCTTCCAAAACGTACCTGCCATATAAAGAACACAGAGCCATGTAATAATGCTAAGTAATGCAAGGGAAGAAAATGTATTTGTGCTGTGAAGATACAAGCTTTACTCAGAGCTCAATAGCAGATTATACAAACTGTATGGGAAATCATAGTGATAACACAAAGTGTCAGATGTTTGAACCTGAAGATGCAATGGGCTTGCATCCATTCATCTAGAATCTCCAAGTTTTGCTCTTCAGTAAATTTGGTCATTTTAAAAAGAAAGTATCTATAGATCATATACTCTTTCCTGTGACCTTGAGCTCATGGTTTTAGGATTTAATTATCATCTATTTTTTTGTGTGATAGTCATAAGATGAACTGCTTTGTATCTTTAACAACTTGTAGATGGATATAATTTCTACTGTGTCAATTATTTTTCTTTATGCAACAGGACTTACAATATTTCCTGCTAGGAAAAAAATAATTGTTTCTGTAGACAAATGTATATGATTTCTCTTATTCTTCCTTTCAAAAAAAAGTGACTTGAAGTATTTCTCAATATGGTGGATGCCAGAGATTTTAATTAAATATATTGCCCAAGATACATTATCTCTTTCATTTAGCAGTTCAAAGTCTACCCTATTACATTCTTTAAATTGACTGTCCATCAGTTCAACCATTAGCTTAGTCAATCGCACAGTTACCTCCAACACTTGTGCCAATTTGCCCCACTGCACAAATGCTGAAACTAAACAACATTGAATCTCCACCTATTCAACTTCCTGCCCTTTCATGCAGGCTGCTGATTGCTGCTGGAGGCAGTCACAGTCATGTATATTTGTAACACTAAAATGTCATGACTATACATCAAAGGTGTCCAGGAATTCTTTTATCTATTTCTTAAGCATTGTTTCAGAACTTCTCTCAAATTATCTTATTTTAAAACTTGCCTCCTCTCATAAGATGACCTTTAACCCCTACTACAGTGAGATCATCAAAAACCCTGAGTGAGACCATCCTGAAATCTTCATCAACTTATCTCTACTTGCATTCGTATTTTATTTTCTGTTTAAGTGAAAGCAAGCAAGAAAGATCATTTCAATAGTGCTTCAGATCTTGTTTCCTCTCCCGTTCTTTGTGAACTTACTCTCTTCAGTCATCCATTTCTTCTGAACTTTCAACTTCACCCTGTCTGCTAGATATTTCTTTTTGGCATATAAATATACTCAGGTCTCACTCACATTTAATAAAACACTAATTCTCAAAACCATGTCAAAATGAAACTGTTTCCTTTTCATAGAAAAATGACATAGCCACAACCTTTGTACCCTTTTTCTTACCATACACTCAATCCTCAACCTACTGCAATCTTATTTAACCTCCCCTTCTCCTTTGAGGCTATATTTAACAAGTTTACTATGAGTGACCTTAAATATTGCTAAACCCAATTGACCCTGGTTCAATCCTTTGTTTATTTAATCCCTTCTTTATACTTGAAACTCTCTTTTCCCTTGACCTCACTATTCCTGTTGTGGTAGCAACAAATTACCACAAACCTAGTGGCTTAAAACAACACAAATTGATTATCTTACAGGTTTGGGGGAGCCACCTACATTCCTTGGGTCCTGGCCCCTTTGGCTACCTTCAAAACTCATCACGCCAACCTCTGCTTCCACGGTCACATCTCCTCCCTGATGCTAATTCAATTGCCTCCTTCTTATAAGGACTCTTGTGATTATATTGGGCCTGCCCAGCTAACTCAGGCTAATCTCCCCATCTTACTATAATCACATCTACAAAGTCCTTTTGCTGTATAAGGTAACAAGTTCACAGGTTCTGAGGATTAGGACTTGGACATCTTTGGTTCTCCATCACTAGCTGTTGTTTCTACTTTTGCAATCTCTGACTTCTTTTAATGTAGATGTTCTAACACATTAACATCCCCAAGGTTTGGCTCAAAACTTTTGCTCTTAGTGTATATACTTCCACTGAATACTGTTATCAACACTCATTATGTCAACTACAATTTAGACACAAACGACTTCCCCCCAAATGTATCTACTCTATACCTTCTGCTGAGCTCCAAAGCTATTATACAACTCAATATTTTCCTATGGTTCTCACAAGGTGCCTCAAAAATGTGCCTGCTTAAAATCAAGTCATCATCTTTCTCACAAACCTGCTTCTTTTCCCTAAGTAAATGAATGGTCTTCTCTTGTGAGTTCATGTAAATTGGGCTGTTTTCCAATAACAGTTTACTAAGACTTGTCAAATGAAGTGTCCATCAGTATCCTTTACCTGGCAGCCATGTTTATTCATTGTCTCCACTGCTCTTTTAACAGTATAATTTACAGGTTCACACTGTTCCACCTGTGTCTTCATGTTTTGCTCAAAATATGGGCCAATCAGAAAATAATTGTCTCCCCATTCATCCACTGTTGTTCTGGCCTTTGTCTGGATCACAGTATAGATGCCACCAACTGTTAAAAAGAAAAGGTCCCATTATCATTATCAGGTTAGGAATTCAAATTAAAGGATAAAGGCATGGAAGTGAGTTCTCATTTTTAAGTAGGNCTTAAAAAGGTGTTGTTTACTTCATTTCTGCTTCTAAACTACTATTTAGCCTTCTAAGGAAATTATATTTCCACTTTGTTATAATCACATGGAATTCTTTTTTTTTTTTTTTTTTTTTCACATGGAATTCTTGATTTCTTGGATTTTAATTATACCTTTGCTTACCCCACATTTTATAAATATTGAGCTAATTTTTTCCCTTAAGTTCCTTATCAGATTTTCTGCATAAACAATGAAATAAAGCTGACATTATACTTGATACCAAAACTAAAGATAATTATCATCTTTAATTCACTGAAAGGGAACCTGACAAAGAGAAGAGGCAAATGCTTTCCCATGGTTGTAGAAGTCCTACCACCATATAATTTCAGGAGTGTACAGTTACTTTAATTAGATTGAGTTTTATGTTATGCAATTATTCATTATTCTGCGTATCTTAACTTTTAAAAAAACCATAGTGAGCCAAACCCCTAACAATTATTTAAATAGTTGGCAACAATTGTGGGCTTTTGCCATTTTTTGCTTAGTTATTGAAGGTTATCACTAACATAGCTGCATATGAAAGTAGCAGTGTCTAAGAGAAAACACTGTATAATTTCTAGAGTTGTATCAGCAATGCTGTTTTCATAATAAAGATTAAAAACTTTTAAACACTATGCATTAGGCACTGTTTTAAGCATAATATCATTTTTTTAATCCTCATAAACCACTGAGGCACATATTTTGTCTTCATTTTATGGAGGGGGATTGAAACTTTTAAAAGTTAAGGAACTTGACCAAGGTCACATGCCTATTAAGCATTTTAGCAGAGCCCTAAATTGATCCCAAATCAGTTTGACTCCAAGCTTGTGTTCTCACCTACTTTTATATCATTTTGACTCTGACTCAATTAACAAGTCAGTCCCAATAATTACTGCATCATATAGAGTAAAACATTTTTAAAAAGAAGACTCATTAGATGATTCTAAAGATTTGAACAAGAAAATTCCTAGAATATTCTTTCTTGACTATAATATTTGCAAACATCTTTGAAAATGTTTGAATCAGGGCTCTATATAGCATCCTTGGATCAGCAGTTTTTAAAAATCTCTTTGTGGTTGGTCTCATTTATTCAAACAAATCACTCATTCAACCAACATTTGTTCANAAAAAAAAAAAAAGAGTGTGAGCTCTGAGCAACAGGGTCACTGGTTCAATTCCCACATGGGCCAGTGAGCTGCGCCTGAGTTGAGCTGCCACTGAGCTGCCAGCAGGTGGCAGGATGGCTCGGCTGGTGAGAGCACGTGCTCCTAACAACAAGGTTGCTGGTTCAACTCCCACATGGAATGGTGGGCTGCGCCCACTCACAACTAAGACTAAACACAGCACCTGGAGCTGAGCTGCCCTGAGCTGTTGACAGGTGGCTGGATGGTGACTACAGCTGGAGCTGAGCTAGCTGAACCCCCAACAACTAAGATTGCAAAACAACAACTTGGCTGTTCCCCTTCTCCAATTCCCCAATAAAAAAATCTTAAAAAAAAAAATTAAGGCTCATTGAAAAGGTGATATTTGAGTAAGTACACTTAAAAGAATGAAGAAATTAGGGAGGTGAATCATAGGGAAGAGTTTTTTCAGGCAGAAGGAAGGGTTAGAACCAAAGCCCTAAGTTGGGAACACAGAGTGCACATGGAGAGTAATAAGCATTCAGAAAGAAAGACCTGAGGTGCAGTAACCAGGTAGGAAGAATAGGACCAAGGGGAAGAAGACCGTCAGTAAAGTTAGGCAGGTTATTTTCTGTGCTGGATCTAAACAATGATCTCACATGAGAATATGAGAACTGTCGGTGTCAATTTCTTTCTTTTAAAATTTATTTTAAGGTTTTTATTAAAATATAACTAACGTACAATATTATTTTAGCTTCAGGTATACACCATAGTTATTCAACATTTATATACCTGAAAGAGTGATCACCATGGTAAGTCCAGCAACCACCTGACACTGTACCACACTATCACAATATTATTGATTATATTCCCTATGATGTACATTGCATGCCTATGACTTATTTGTTTTATACCTGGAAATTTGGACCTCTCATTCCCCTTCATCTTTCCTCCCTTTAAAAATTTTTAATTATAGTTGACATTCAATACTATTTTATATTAATTTCAGATGTACAACATAGTTACACATTTATGCAATTTAAGAAGTGATCCCCCTGACTGACACTATACATGATTATTACCATATTATTGACTATATCCCCTGTGCTACTTTATATCCTCATGACTATTTTGTAACTACCAATTTGTATTTCTTAATCCCTTCACCTTTTTCACCTTCACCCTAACCCCTTCCCATCTATCACCCCAACAAATCTAGCACCCATCTGACACCATACATAGTTATTATTGTATTATTGACTATATATTCTTTATGCTATACCCTACATCCCCATGACTACTGTGTAACGACTAATTTGTACTTCTTAATCCCTACCCCTTTTTTACTCACCCCCAATCTCCCTCCAATCGGGCAACCATCAATATGTTCTCTGTATCTAAGAGTATTTTTCTGTTTCATTTGTTTATTTTGATCTTTAGGTTCCACATATAAGCAAAATCACACTGCATCTGTCCTTCACTGTCTTATACTCCACTCAGCACAGTACCCTCCAGGTCCATCCATGCTGCTGCAGATGGCAAGAACCCATCTCCTTCCATAGCCAAATAATATTTCATTGTATGTATGTACCACCTCCTCTTTATCCATTTTTCCATTGACAGAAACCCAGGCTGCCTCCACATCTTGGCCATTGTAAAGAATGCTGTAATAAACATATGGATAGACATGTCCCCTTGCCATTTGAGTTTCTTCAGATAAATACCCTGAAGCAGGATCACTGGGTCCTTCTTTGTCTCTGTTTATAGCCTTTGTTTTAAAGTCTATTTTGTCTGATATAAGTAGTGCTACCTCAGCGGTTTTGTTTGTTTCATTTCCATTTTCATGAAATATCTTTTTCCATCCCTTTACTTTCTGTCTTTGTATGTCTTTCAATCTGAAGTGATTCTCTTGAAGGCAGGCGATGTAAGGGTTTTGTTTTCTTATCCATTCAGCCCCCCTATGTTTTTTTATTGGAGCATTTAATCCATTTACATTAAAAGTAATTGTTGATAGATATGTATTAGGTAGATTTACCTAATACATAGGATAGCTGTCACCACTACTGGACCTGGGTAGCTCCACAAAAAGCCAGGACACCCCAAGGTGTGCTGTCATCTGCTGGTTCCCTTAAGGTTTGGCCTCTGATAAAGCCTTTTGCAGTACAAGAGTTGGATGAGGCAGGGTCTCAGAGAGTCCCTAGAGTGGGAAGAATTGTGGTCAACTGGTTAATGTAAACTCTAGTTTGGTGCCTGTGCTAAGCCTAGAGCTATTCAGCAAAAGTTTCAGAGCACACCATGGCTAGCTGCCACCCACGTGGGTCCGGTGAGTTCTCATAGTTTTCAAGGAAGAGTATAATACATGTGGGGTTGGCTACTTTTGGAGAAAGTACCTCTAGTGTTGGGCAAATTGGATGGTGCGAGGTCTCAGGTTGTCAGCAGAGTAGAACAGCAGAGCTCACCAAGCCAATCAGATTTAGATTTGGCCTGTGGGGGAGGGTTCAACACATTAAAGATGGCAGTTGCCTACTGGCTGCATGGGAAAAAGACCCCACATAGCAAAGATGGGGACTGTCCTCCAGTCCTCACTGCAAAGCCACTCCTCAGTCTGCCTCCGTATGTCTCTGATGTTTCCCCCCTCCCCCCGAGTTATTGTCCCTCCACAGAAGCCCAAGGTGAGTGTCTGCAAGTGAGAGACTCTGTGCCGGCCATTTAAGAGAATCTCTGGGTTTCCTGCAGCCTTCCATTCCACCCAGATAGTTGTGGAACCCCCACTATTCTTCACAGCTAGATGTTATGGGGCTCCTCTTCCCGGCACCAGTACTCTGGGCTGGGGAGGCCAGTGTGGGGCTGGGGTCTTTTGCTCCTCTGGGGAAAAATTCTGTGGCTAAACTATCCCTCCTGTTTCTCAACCACCACATCGAGGTTTGGGCCCAGCCTATTTCATGTTTCCACCCTTCCTACCAGTCTCAACAGGGCTTCTTCTTTATATTCTTAGTTATAAAAATTCTGTTCAGCCAGATTTCAAAGCTGGTTCTCCAGGTTTATTATTCTATAATTTAGTTGTAATTTTAAAGTGCTCATGGAAGGAAGCAGGCACAGTGTTTATCTACTCCGCCATCTTGGATTGCTCTCTGAATCAATTTCTTGAGCAATACTTTGTCCATGATCTATAGGCAAGGGGATGACTCCAGATATTCTGTGTGAACTCTCAAATTTAATACAGATCCTAGCACCAATCTTCAACTCCATTTCCAAGAGCAATTTTATTACTTGTATAATGAGAAGAAAGTTTCTTATTTTTCACTAATCTTTCATAAGGTGTTTCAATTCATCAGGATACAGGGTTTGATAGCAACTGCATCTCTTAAATTTATTATTTCAGTAACTTAGATTTTAAATAATAAATCTAATAGATAGTCACAATCTATGGCCAAAAGATAGAATTGCACTCTGCAAATTTTTCTTTAAGCCTGAACAACTCAAAATAATACTTTTTCATAAATTGCCTTTTGAGAGATAAGACACAAAAGGCAAAGGTTGGTACTACTATATGATGCTAGCAGAATTCATTAATTTATAAATGAGAAGAGTTAATACAACTCCCAAAATGTAAATATTACATGCAAGCAATTTTCATATGAGCTTACATAAACTTATTGTCCTTAAGAACTTCATTGTTAAGAAAAGGCTTTTTGACTGTACTTCAAACTGTCACTTGAGCAGAGTCTGATAATAAAAACACTATCTATCACAGCTCAGATGGC